TTTCATAAATCTACAGGCACATTACAGTCCCCTTCAGCAAATCTCCAATGCAGTAATTTAAAAAAAAAAAAAGGGGGGGGGGGGGGGAGATTATGGGACTGTAGCTTGTCCATAATGTCCTCCTTTGCTCAGCATGAGCACTGTATACAATTTAAACAAATTCAAGACCTTTTTGGGCACAGGTATACCTTTTTCATGGAATCCTCTGCATGGGTTTTCAGTCCCCATTAGCATGTCCTGGTAGGACATGAGATTGTGGTGGGGTGTTGTATGTGACTTTTTTTTTTTTTTTTTGTCCCCCCACCTGGTTATTCACTGTGCCAGATAGTGTACCTTAATTTCTCATAGCAGCTGTACTTGGGATGCAGATGTCAAGTTCGATATAGCTGAATGTGAAGTGCTTCAGTCAAAAATGTTAGGGGTTGTGTGTGTGTGTGTGTGTGTTTTTTCTTTTTTTTTTAAATACAGAAACTGTAGTCTATTTGTTGAAATGAGATATTGCTCTAGGCATTTACCAAGTCACACCATGGCTATGTATGATGCACATTATGCCATGCACCATCATTTGTTGCCTGAGTCAATATAATTTTTCAGGAGTGACCAGCACTGCACACAGGACCCTCACAACCCTGTCCCTCTCCTCCTGAACTGTCAGAGCCCTGTTCTGGCTGCTCTCGCCTGTCTGGGGACTCTGAGCCCACACTGCCTCTTGCTAGTTCAGTGGAGAAGGGATGGAGGAGCACGACTGGAAGAGTAAGGCCATCAGCTTGCGAATGTCAGAAACTGCCAAGGAGTGCTGGCGTTCCCAAAGATGCAAGCTGCCAGATAAAATTATCTAAGACTATAGTATAGCGGCTTGTGCTGCTTGATTTTGTTTCTGTAGGACAAAGGAAGGTTCTACTAAAAAAGGAACAATCCACACAAGGAACGCATCACATCTAATTTCGCCCCTTGTGGTGATGTCTTAATTTTTACGTTAAACTTGTGCTTTAATACAGGTTTTGTGCATTTCAGTCCTGTGTACAGTCAAAGGAACATCACTGTGTATGGTCCTTGGCTGATACTGCATCAGAACCATTTGGATATATACAGTGCTCAGCATAAATGAGCACACCCCAACAGATTCAGTAGAAAAACTTTCCTTTCCTTTCAGAATCGCTTTTTTTTTTTTTTTTTCCATGGGATGCTATACTACAAAATACAAGATTTGTTAATTTGCGCACACTATTTTTCCTAACAAATTCATTCAAGGCTCAGTTTTGGAAAGATCGAGTTTGAGGAAGCGGAGTGACATCCATGTCGATATGTCACTTAGTAGGTTAGTAATGCGAGACGAGACTGAAGGGGTGAGGTGAGGAGTAGAAAGATGGATATATTTGTGTGTCATCAGCATAGAGATGGGAGTTTATCAAGTGACCAAGGGATGAGGTGTAGATGGAGAAGAGAAGGGGTCCAAGGACAGAACCTTGAGGGACCCCTACAGAAAGAGGGAGTGGAGAGGAGGAGACCGAGTTATAGGTAACACTGAAGGAGCGCTGATAGGAGGAGAACCAGGAGAGAGCAGAGTCTCTGAGACCAAAAGTGGAGTTTTTTTTTTTTTTTTTTTTGAGGAGGAGGAGGGAATGGTCAATAGTATCATTTCATCTACCCCCCCCCCCCCCCCTCCCTATTCTAAAACTATTTCCAGATCCAGACTGCTTCTGGGTTGTTTCTGTTCAGGTATAGTGTGTATTGTAAGTAAATGAGCTAAAATATGTCCATGGATTTTTCTAGTGTAATCATGGTGTTTATTTGCAGTCTTTAGGAGGATGTCTGGTCGTGGCAAGAAGGTCAAGAAGCCTGCAGCTGGCAAGACCTCCAGGTCAGCTAAGGCAGGTCTCCAGTTCCCAGTAGGCCACATCCACCACTTCCTGAGGAAGGGAAACTAGACAGAGGATTGGCTCTGGAGCTGGGATCTATTTGGCCGCCACTCTGGAATATCTGTGTGCTGAGGTCCTGGAGCTATCGGGAAACGCAGCCAGAGACCACAAGAAATCCCGCATCTTGCCCAGACACATCCAGCTAGCTGTCCGGAATGATGAGGAACTAGCTAAAGCTGTTTGATGGTGTCACCATTGCAGATGGGGGGAGTCATGCCCAATATCCAAGCTGTCCTCTTGCCAAAGAAAACCATGAAAGGCCCTTTACAAGGAGCCCAAACCTACAGAGTCTCAGGAGATTTAAATGTTAGTCTTGTAAAATATTTGATTACCGTTTTTTCTATTTTTTTTTTTTTTTTGGTATACTTATTAAAAACTTTCTACCAACTCAGTGATTTGCTCTATTAAGTTGTGTAGGTCCATAGTTTGCTATGATACGCTTTGACAGGAGGCAAGAATGAACTACAAAAGCACTGTGGTTGTTCAGTGAGCACTACAAGCTGACAGCTGTAAAGGTAGTTTTACATTCTTGTGTGTGGTGACGTCTGGGGGAAGGGGAGAAGATCCCCTGCTAGTTGTCACTCTATGCAGCAGGAACATGTTCCATACAAAATGGGTACATGGGTGTGACATGTTCCCAAAGGTGAACTTGTACTTTAAGGTTTGGCAGGCAGCAATATATATTTCTGGGTCCGCTTTAAACTGTGTGCTTCAAAATCTTAACTTTAGTCTGGAAATCCTGCTGAAGGGAGGAATGGCAATGCATTTCATGGTATGTGAGGGTGCCTAGGCTCTTGTTATATGTAATGTCATAGGTGTGTGAATGGATATACAGAGTGGTATCTATAGCACCGTTGGTGATGTCATGATTCTCATTGGATGGATGTCCTAGCATGAACGTACAAGACCTTCCTCTACAAAAATAGTTACACAGTGCAGAACAAGGCATAAGCTGCAGAAAGAGCAGACAAAATGGTAATCCCCCCACACAATTTATGTATATTTTTATTTGCCATTCTCAAGTGACTATCACTCAGATAGCAGTGTCTAATTCAGTGTTTTTTTGTTTGTTTGTTTTTTTACAGCACCAACATAGGTGCAGTTAAAATGCCCGTTCCAATGGCAACTGTCTAAAACCTTTCCTTCACTTAGAGGATTTTCTTAAACTTCCTGTTGCATCCCCAATTCAGAAAATAACCTGATGGGTTTCAAGTACAGAATTTCTACTCCTATTGAAAAAAATACATTTGATACTGCTGGGAGAGTCTGATCCCTGTATCCTTTATTGCATATTGTAGTTCTATCCTCTGACCTAATGACAGTGAAGAATGTGGTGGGGAGATGCAGGGAACCAACATCTGCTGTATGGGTTTGGGGTTTTTTTTGTGTGACTGAGTTTGCATTAATCCCTAAAAACAAATGGTGGCTTTAAAAGCTAAGTTCACCTTTTTAGGGTGTAACCTGTAGCCATGCCTGCTGCCCCCTCCCTCTGATAATATGGGGAGAAGTCTCCCCATACAATCTGTCAAATTTAAAAACAGCGGGGCTCTGCCCACACGACGACCGCGTAATTCATTCTTGGACTTCTGTGAATGAACTGCAAGTCCTGACAGCCTTAGTGGCTGTGGGCTTGTAGTTTTAGATGAACTATAAGTCTTACTAAACTCACAACAGTAAAATCAGTCTGTATATGCAGTAAAGCATGCTTGTTATACTTGCTGTGTAACCTAAGGGGTTGATCCTGTCTTCTCTGATCCTCCGCTTCTTCCAGTGTCCCCCTCTTATCTCCTGATAGAACAGAGGTTTGGGGAAAGCTGCACATGCTCACTATGGTGTGTATTTCTAGAGGTTGTTTTTTTTTTCTTGGGAGTGCATGTGATCAGCACAGGACCTATCGACACTCTTGAGACAGAGGTCCTGCATCCTGCTACAGGAGAAAAAACTCCTCCTACACCTGTAACCATTGCTCTGCTGGACACTGATGGAAGTAACAAGACTGCTCTGTTGATGAGAAAAGATATTTAGCAGTTTATATTTACTAAAATAAATGCATTTCTGTGTACTGTGTGAGATCAGATATAGTGAATTCAGGGCCTGGGATTTAGTAACACCTGCTAATTTTTTTTTTTTTTTTTTTTGTGTGAAAAAATTTGCTTATTTACACTTTGTAGTTCATTCATTTACAAAACTCAATGAATGAAGGACTTGACTGTGTGGGAGGAGCCTTGCACAGCTGCTCTGTTTTAAAAAACTGACAGCTAGTACAAGGAAGTTCTACCCGTACTGCTGTTATGGGGGGGTTGTTATCAGGCAGCGGTGGGAACATGTTCCCAAAGGTGACCTCATCCTTCAAATATACTGAAGTTACTGCCAAAAACAACCTTTTTGCTTTCAACACTTTCATATAAAGATCTGAATATCTGCTCTGCTGAAAGTAGATTGTTATAAGTGGCAACAATGTGTGTTCAAGGCTCAGGAAACCCTAGAGGTAAATGACGTCAAATTGTTTTGTTCTCATTCCGAGTCCAAAGAAACAAAAGAGTGAAAGGTTGACTTAATAGAACCTTTTTATAGTTATAACTATAGAAACTCTATAACTGGATTTTGTGTGTCACCATAGCAACTTATTTCTGGCCACTTGTGGAAGGTATATTGTGTAAAGTTAATAAAAGGACAAAAGAAACATAAAGCAAGGTAGTTAGGGTGGAATTATTAAAGGCAAATAGATTGTGCTTTGCAAGTGTAGTCACACTAATTTTCCCCAAAACTAAGGCTGGCCATACATTATGCAATTTTCTTGAGAATTTTGCTTTAGACTTACCAAAAACCATAATATGAGGTTAAACATGAACAACACTTTCCAATTGTATCCAATTAGGGAAGCCCTTGCACTACATAGTTGAAGGTAAATCTAAAAGGAAATTGAACAGAAAATTGTATAGTATATGGCTAGCCTTAGTGAATGTGGTAAAGCTTCATTTGGAAAAGAATACCCAGTTACTGTATTTTTTGCTCCATAAGACGCACTCTTTTCAACCCAAAGAATGGGGGGAGAATGTCTATGGGTCTTATGGAGCGGCCAGTCTGGTATTCCCGCTGCCGCCGTGTCAGAATACAGGGCTGGCCACTCGGCTCTTCCCTGCAGCAGAGCTTTACCTGTTCCTTGGTCCAGCACTGTACAGTCTTCTCTCCCAGAGCCGGCATCTTTAGTGTGGGCACCCAGCTGTGACAGCCAGGTACCCACTGCGCATGCGCGAGAAGCGCTGTGCTTTGTGACTGGTCCAGCAGTCTTCTGGGACCTGTCACGTGTCCGAGAAGACAGGGAGGAAGGACAACTCCGTGCAAGCGGGTACCTGCTCCCCCTCCCACCCCAAAGGTCTGCAGTCTCTGGTCATCCCCTGTACTGTGTCCGCAGTCTCTGGTCATCCCCTGTACTGTGACCGCAGTCTCTGGTCATCCCCTGTACTGTGTCCGCAGTCTCTGGTCATCTCCTGTACTGTGTCCGCAGTCTCTGGTCATCTCCTGTACTGTGTCCGCAGTCTCTGGTCATCTCCTGTACTGTGTCCGCAGTCTCTGGTCATCTCCTGTACTGTGTCCGCAGTCTCTGGTCATCTCCTGTACTGTGTCCGCAGTCTCTGGTCATCTCCTGTACTGTGTCCGCAGTCTCTGGTCATCTCCTGTACTGTGTCCGCAGTCTCTGGTCATCTCCTGTACTGTGTCCGCAGTCTCTGGTCATCTCCTGTACTGTGTCCGCAGTCTCTGGTCATCTCCTGTACTGTGTCCGCAGTCTCTGGTCATCTCCTGTACTGTGTCCGCAGTCTCTGGTCATCCCCTGTACTGTGTCCACAGTCCACTGGTTCAGAATATTTTTTTCTTGTTTTCCTCCTCTAAAACCTAGGTGCGTCTTATGGAGTGAAAAATACGGTAGTTACAGAATACCCAATCACTTACAGGAAAATAAAATAACAGCATTTTTGCTTGCACATGGATGATGGAAATCAGCAGACCGCTACCATATTTACTAAGCTCTGGGTAAAATGAGTGAGACTGCACTTGCAAAGTGCACAGTCTGTTTATCTTTGCTACACATTTCCCTGTGTGTGACTTGACATGCAGCTAAACCCACCTATTCTGCAATAAACCAGATTAAATGTAATCTTGAAGTTTTTATTAATGAAACAGAATGAGTGAAACATCAATGCTGCCTGTAGTGGGTGTAAGTGCAGTCCATGACAAATGCTACATACAATTATGGCTGGTTCCTTTCCCCCAGTTATTAAAGTGTTATTAAACACACAAACATAAAATTGCTCTGTATATGCAGTAAATCATGCTTGATATACTTGTTGTGGAACCTAAGGGGTTAATCTTCTGCATTGTGTAAAAAGGATGTTTGATCCTGTCTTTTCTAATCCTCCCCTTATTCAAAATTTTCCCATTTCATTTCCTGATAGAACACAGCCTTGGGCCACTCTGCACATGCTCAGTTTGGTGTGTACTGCTAGTTATTTCCCCCCCACACCTTGGAAGGGTGCATGTGCTCAGCATTGTCCAGACAGAACGTCAGTGTTATACAATCTCATAGAACAGTCACTTAAAGCAGTATTAAACCCAAGACAAAACCTTTATTAAATTGCAGTTTACCAAATCTTCGATGCGATGGCTTTATTTTTCCCTTTTTTTTTTTTTTTTCTTTTAAGGTTTTCTTTCCTTTTTCACTTGTTGACCCAGCCAGTAAATTTTAAACAGAACCAGCTGTCCTGCAAAAGTGGCAGCTTAGAGTGTTGCAATTAACCACTTACCTCTGGCAGGGGTGCTTACAATGATCAGCTTTTTTTTTCATTCATGTAAAACCTTTATCACAAAAGAATCAAAACTGTTGATCTAACTGCTTGCGTTATTGAAGTTTGGCTTTAATTTGTTAGTGCCTCTAAATCTGCTTGTCCATCTAACACTCACTTCCCCAGAGACTGTCAATGCTGCTGTCCAAGTGTGCACCCCGTGCTACTTCATTCAGAGTTGGGGCACCGGGGGGGGGGCGGCACAGTAGGTATGTTATTTGCCAGATGACCAGATGAAAACAAACAGCTTAAAAAAAGAAAAATAATGCAGCCACCACATCTAATGATTGGTAAGCTGCAATATATTACATTTTGATCTTGAGTTTAATACTGCATGGCCATGCAAATATTTTAGTAAATATAAACTGCTAAATACCTTTTTGCATCAGCAGTTAGAGCAGTCTGGTGACTTTTATCAGTGTCCAGCAGACCACTGGTTAAAGCTTGTAGGAGTTCTCTTTCTCCTGTAGGAGGATGGAGGACCCCGGACCTCTGTCTGGAGAGAGCTGATTAGCCCTGTGCGGATCACATTCACTCTCCCAAGACAAAAAAAAAAAAACTCTAGCAATGCACACCAAACGAAGCATGTGCAGCTTGCCGCCAAGGCTCTGTTCTATCAGCACATGGATTGGGACTGTGGAAGAAGGGGAGTATCACAATGTGGAGGATTAACCGCTTAGGTTTCACAGTGAGTATAACAACCATACAAAAAATGGCCACTGCTGCAGTCTATAACTGGCCTTCACAACGAGGAGCATATGGAAGGACAACGCATGTCAATAAAAGAGAAAAATTTCCAGGTCAACTTACCAACCAGCTTGCAAACAAACTGAATTAACCTGTCTAACAGTATGTGTTTAAAAACAGGGGTTTAGTTAGCACACATTTGCAAATACATGCATAAGCTGCAGAGCTTCTTCACGGCACCCCAGTATTCTGTGGTTCCTAACTACAAATTTTGAAAGTCCCCATAGTAGAGGCACATGTTTTTAATGGATAGACTGGGGGCAGGTGAACCTGAGGGAGCCCACCCCTCCTTAAAGGTACAGGACTGCACTGGACACCCAGCATATAGCACAATGGCAGCCAATGTGTCAAGTGCGCGTCCTCACCACCAAGTCAATAGTACAAAAAATGGCCACTGCCCCAGTCTATTACAGGCCTTCACATCAAAAAGCACTTGGAAGGGCAACGTACAGTTGCAAGAAAAAGTATGTGAACCCCTTGGGATTACGTGGAGTTTTGCATGAATTGGGAATAAAATGTGCTCTGAACGTCATCTAAGTCACAACAATAGAAGAACACAGTCTGCTGAACATAATACTACACAAACATTAGACGTTGCCATGGTTTAATTGCACATAACATGTAAACATTCACAGTGCAGGGAGAAAAAAGTATGTGAGGCTCTAGCTCAGGGGTGTCCAAACTTTTTTGGAAGAGTGCCAGATTTGATGAAGTGAACATGTGCGAGGGCCGACCATTTTGCCCGACATTCTGATGAACCATTAAAATTAAATGCAAATGAACTATTTTATGCAAAAGTTTATTGAAAACGGCATACTTTTCATTTTGTGACTTGGATGACAAATCTAAACAGGTGTTAAATCACTCTGCCAGCACAGGGAGAAGGAAAGCCCAAATCTCGCGAGATCTCGGAGGTCGCGAGATTTGGGCTTTGTTTCTCCTTGCACTGTCTGATGACGTCAAGCGATCCTGAGCACCAATCCATTATAGCCCAAATTGATACCGTATTTTTCGCTCCATAAGACGCACCTGACCATAAGACGCACCTAGGTTTTAGAGGCGAAAAACAGGGAAAAAAAATTCTGAACCAATGGACTGCAGACATAGTACAGGAGATGACCAGAGACTGCGGACACAGTACAGGAGATGACCAGAGACTAAGTACACAGTACAGGAGATGACCAGAGACTGAGTACACAGTACAGGAGATGACCAGAGACTGAGGACACAGTACAGGGGATGACCAGAGACTGCGGATATAGTACAGGAGATGGCCAGAGACTGCGGATATAGTACAGGAGATGACCAGAGACTGCGGATATAGTACAGGAGATGACCAGAGACTGCGGACACAGTACAGGGGATGGCCAGAGACTGCGGACATAGTACAGGAGATGGCCAGAGACTGCGGACATAGTACAGGAGATGACCAGAGACTGCGGACATAGTACAGGGGATGACCAGAGACTGCGGACACAGTGCAGGGGATGACCAGAGACTGCGGACACAGTGCAGGGGATGACCAGAGACTGCGGACACAGTGCAGGGGATGACCAGAGACTGCGGACACAGTGCAGGGGATGACCAGAGACTGCGGACACAGTGCAGGGGATGACCAGAGACTGAGGACACAGTACAGGAGATGACCAGAGACTGCGGACACAGTATAGGAGATGACCAGAGACTGCGGACACAGTGCAGGAGATGACCAGAGACTGCGGACACAGTGCAGGAGATGACCAGAGACTGCGGACACAGTGCAGGAGATGACCAGAGACTGCGGACACAGTGCAGGGGATGACCAGAGACTGAGGACACAGTACAGGGGATGACCAGAGACTGCGGACACAGTACACGAGATGACCAGAGACTGCGGACACAGTACAGGAGATGACCAGAGACTGCGGACACAGTGCAGGAGATGACCAGAGACTGCGGACACAGTGCAGGGGATGACCAGAGACTGAGGACACAGTACAGGAGATGACCAGAGACTGCGGACACAGTACAGGAGATGACCAGAGACTGCGGACACAGTACAGGAGATGACCAGAGACTGCGGACACAGTACAGGAGATGACCAGAGACTGCGGACACAGTACAGATGACCAGAGACTGCGATGACCATTCACAAAGCGAAGCGCAGTGGGCACCCGGCTGTCACAGAAGCCAGCGCGGGAAGACTGTGCAGCGCTGGAGCGAGGAACAGGTAAGGCCCTGCAGGAGACAACAGCTGAGCGGCCGGCCCGGTATTCTGACATGGTGGCGGCAGAAATACTGGACCGGCCGCTTTATATTCGCTCCATAAGACGCCCGTTCAGACTGACCATGTGCAATCAATGGGGCAATCCCTGCTGATTACATATTGTTCATCTTGATAAGTTCTCTAGGAGCAGTGGCAGCAGCCAATAGGTCCCTGAACACTGGCTGCTGCACTAACATTGGCATACACATTTATATGCATACAGCCGAAAATACATCCAAAATTATGTCCCTTGATTCAGCTTTGTTCTATTTTTTTTATGTTGCTATATGAGGTGTAACAATTTAATTCCTGAAAATGATTTTTTTTTTTTACAGTCCAAACACCTCTTTCTTCAAAAGATCGGATTAAATTTGAAGATGATATCCTTTCTGATCTTCTGTCAAGATTCAAGGCGCCATCTTTCTCATTCCCAAATCCTCTGTTAGTTTGCGCTAGAGAATGTGATAATACCATTGGTGACTCGCCAAATTTTGTTAGGGCTCCTTTACACAAGCTTTGCCCCCTGAAGAGCAGTGGAATGCTTTTCAGAGGGCATTTGGCAGGCAGTGAGGAAGAATTATGTTGCTTTCTCACTGTCTGAAAACCTCCACCACCATACCACAATCTTGAATGGGTTCCGTTCAGTGCGTGGTACTGCCTGCCAAATGCAACAATGGAGATAATTATTTTGGCAATGCAAAGCATTGCAGCAGCAACAGCTTGTGTATACATTGTATGGCTGCCTTTGCGGCTTAGGGGGGAGCATTTGGGGGGCAGCAAAAATAAAGCTCAACTGTGTGTGTAAAGCTCAACCACAAGTGTAACATAAGTCAAAGAAAGCCTTATAAAATTGGTTTGATTGCCATGCCAATAGTTGGAATTTTAAAGCTTGATTTCTGGATGCATGTAAGTGATGTCATGTTAAGGCCCTATTCAAACTTGTGAATGGGGCTGTTAGCGATTACATGTAGATGACCCAGTGGAGGGTTCCTGATGCTTAGCTGCAGACAGCAGCCCTATTGAAA